CGTCGATCAGGACCGAATTTCCAAGATCTTCCAGTACTATTTTATAAATTTACCAATCATGTTGGAATAAGATTGATTATATTAACACGATTGTTTGAGTCTAAAATTTTCCTATCTAAAGTTTTCCTAGCACTACCTTTCGTGCAGAAAGTCCGTGGTGCAGAGAAATACCCAGGTCAACGTTCCATTTCGTCACCTATCACTAAAATCAAAGTGCTGCAGCACTGAATGCGACGGACATGCAACCGGAGAGACATTAAGGCTTTAAAAAAAACACACACACACAAAAGATATAGATCTAACAGAGAAAATTTGTCCCTTATAAGTTCGAGATTCGTAGAGCGAAATATTTTATGTGTCCCAATCTGATATAATTCAGATTTTCTACTTTCTGCAAGCAGAACAAGTCCAAGTTTTTAAATACAGAATGAAATTTATGCCCAAACTTGTAAATCAGTGTCCTTATCGATTTATTCCAAGAAATGATATGTAAATAGAAAAAATCTGTCAACAAAATATTTCTAAAATAAAACCATGCAAATAAACTTCAATCATAAAACTCAATACATATGAGAATGCTAATTAGAATTGCTTCGTGTTGCATATAGACAATAAAATATAAGTCATTTGTATTTTTATTTCTCTTGGATATGTCTCATTAAAAATATTTTTGGTTAAAATCATCAGCAATTTAATGGTGTATTTTTTTAGATTTTTTTTTCATTTACGTCACTTAAGCACCACAGTGTTAAGTTGTCCCTTTCAATTTCGCACTAAATTCCATTTTCAACTTGTTTCTTAAAGTAAGTAAGTATCCGCTGGTTTATTACATACTGTATGATGTGTACCCGTCCGAAGGTCAGCACAGATGATGCAGAATCTATTTTTAGAATAGTGTTATCTTCTGGTCGAAGGCTATTATAATCTCATAGCAGGTTAACTCACATCGTGACCTAGCAAACTATGTAAACAAAACACAAGACTGATATTATAACTTCCTTCAATAAAGATTACCATGAAAGACTACATGGTGGTAAAGTGTTGAAAAACTCCCTTGTTACATGCATTTTCAAAAATAGATATTTATAATACTAACCATTGTACTGTAGTCTGATTTATTAATAACTGCTGGATATTCAGCTAAACCCGCGGTATGAGTCACGAAAAGAGTTCTTCTTTTATTAATGCGCGAGTTATTCTAAAGTCACGAAAAACTTTTGTTCTGTTAATAAAAATGTTTTGTTTAATGGGAACATATTTTTTTCCTGCTAATAATTTCTATGAATTATTGAGCTTACTCCTTAATTATAGCATAATTTGCTGTTGTACTTTTTCGACAGCGGTAAATCGTTTCAGCAGTTATTTGCATAATTGCACAAGAATACTACGGGGCTACAACGTTTTTATCAATCAAATACGTTTATATTTTAACTTGGATTACTTAATTTGAAATTGAAAAGGCAAAATATGAAAGTTTTTAAGATATCCCGACGAAGTATGGGAGTTTCATAGGATCAAATTCATGTACTATTCCGTGGGCTGTTATTCGGTTGAGGACACATTGCGCGATTGTAGTGCAGATGACATAGCTCTGAACGCGCCTGAGGGCGCGTCCGTCGCAATCATTAGAAGGCTGAGCTTGCAGTCTAGTTTTATTAATGTTGGTAAATACATGTATGTATGGCAAGATTTAAATCACTTGAAAATCGACACATATATCTTAACAGTAAAATTAAATATGTATTGTCACTATTTCTAAAATAAATTCAAACAAATAAGAATTAACATTAAATCTATATATATTTCCTATTACAAATTCTCATTTGCTATTCGCTACTTTGTATTCATTTACATGACAAAATATCAAGCTCCAACAACTTTGAAATAAAAAAGGTGATGTATAGGTAAACCAGCAGGTATTCGTTTTCAAAGTTACCATATAATACACTTAAAGAACATTTGGATATACACAATGTGCATATTTTAGATTTATTATGATAAGGCCCAAAACCTCTCTGTAACTGTAATAAATTACCAAGCGCAGTCGGTGTGCAACGAATTACCAAGCTCTGTTGGTAATGACCGTATTACCAAGTGCAGTCGGTGAGGACCGGATTACCAAGCTCTGTTGGTAATGACCAGATTACCAAGCGCAGTCGGTGAGGACCGGATTACCAAGCTCTGTCGGTAATGACCGTATTACCAAGCGCAGTCGATGAGAACCGGAATACCAAGCGCAGAGGACCGGATTACCAAGTTCTGTCGGTAATGACCGTATTACCAAGCGCAGTCGGCGGTGAGGACGGATTATCAAGCACAGAGGACCGGATTACCAAGCGCAGTCGGTGAGGACCGAATTACAAAGTCCTGTCAGTAATGACCGGATTACCAAGCGCAGTCGGTGAGGACCGATTTACCAAGCGCAGTCGGTGAGGACCGAATTACCAAACTCTGTCGGTAATGACCGGATTACCAAGCGCAGTCGGTGAGCACCGAATTACCAAGCTCTATCGGTAATGACCGGATTACCAAGCGCAGTCGGTGAGGACCAGATTACCAAGCGCAGTCGGTAATGACAGATTACAAGCGCAGTCGGTGAGGACCAGATTACCAAGCGCAGTCGGTGAAGACCGGATTACCAAGCGCAGTCGGTGAGGACCGAATTACCAAGCTCTGTTGGTAATGACCGGATTACCAAGCACAGTCGGTAATGACCGGATTACCAGGCACAGTCGCTAATGACCGGATAACCAAGCGCAGTCGTTTATGACCGGATTACCAAGCACAGTCGGTAATGACCGGATTACCAAGCGCATTCGATGAGGACCGGATTACCAAGCGCAGTCGGTAAGCACGGACTTACCAAGATCTACTGATTATAAGCGAATTACTAAGATCTGTCAGTACTCTTTATGAATTTTATTATCACTATTGATTATAGGTTTCTGTATATATGCAAGTGATCTATATGGACAAATTTGTTTGAATATAAAGTTTTCCTAGCACTACCTTTCGTGCAGAAAGTCCGTGGTGCAGAGAAATACCCAGGTCAACGTTCCATTTCGTCACCTATCACTTAAATCATCAGAAGGCTGACCTTACAATCTAGTTTTATTAATGTTGGTAAATACATGTATGTATGGCAAGATTTAAAACACTTGAAAATCGACACATATATTTAAAGAGTTAAAACAAACGTAGACAGAATTTCAATAATTAATCTTTCATTGGTTCAGTAGAATATTAATTACATTTGTACTTTGTAAACTTTGTTGTTGCAGCTGCTGTTAAGAAATGTTTAACAGAATATTCTTTTAAAATATTTTACTATTAAATTAATATCTTAAATTTGATTATAACAATGTACCGATTTTTGTTGATTATACAGACATCTGGGCTTCTGTTCTCTTTTATAAAATATCTGTTCCGTTGAGTAAATGAATAATTAAATGTCAATTACATCTGTTCATATATATAAATCATGTAAACTATGTTGCTTAAAACTGAAAACTCTTGTGAAAATATTTTATGTTTATATAGATAGTATAAACTATGAAATATATTCATATCAATGATTTTACAGTCATTCTACAAATTATAGCAATCAATGAAAGTTTATATCATACATGACATTATTTCAAACACAAGATATTTCCCAGTCATCGGTCAAAATAGCGTGTTGTCTTGTTACAGATGGTCTCCTCGGTTGGCAATGAGCGGACGTTGTTTCAGTGGTTGTAGCTATTGGTCCAGAAAATGATTGTGTCAACCTGGATTGACCTCTCGTAGGAATACTGATGTCTGGCGGCGATTGTCCTTTGTCACCGGAGCAAGATTTACCAGCATCTGAAGAAACTTCTTGTCCAGAATTGTTGGTTGTACATGTACTGACATGAACAATGTTTTCATCGATAATTTTGTCTCCTTGGTAACAATCCAAAGGTACCTGATTTTAAAACAAAAAATGTTAGATACAATATAAGAGGGATCAAGCACTGTGTTTCGTTTCTCATTAAAAAAATCAACAATTTCTTGTTATTAAAGACAAAATAATAATATGAAGAAAATAAGTACAAAAAAAACAAATTTATAGAATCAACGTGACGAAACTGATCTAAATAACTTTTCAGTTCATTATCATCTATAAAAAGAAATAAATGCTAAAATGATTATAATAATAGTAAAAAGATTAATAAACAGACAATAATTGTTTGTGATTTTCTTCTTATTAATACTAATTAACACACCTGTCCATCCTTTTTAATTTCGTTTTGAGGGTTGTCAGACTCCGTTGAATGGATGGAGGAACATGCGTCGTCGTTCAGATCGATTAAAATATCTGTTTCTGAAGACTGAGGAGAAAAAGAGGATACTATTGAACTAAATAATCTCTCTGGAATATATTTGTCGCGTAGTTTACAACCACACACTAGTTTTTATGTGTACAAATCATCCACTCAACACCTTTTGCTATCTGGTTGTAATGTTGTTTCTTTGTCAGTGCGTTTATCAGAGTATGAGATACATCGGCTGGCCTTTGTACGCTAAATGTGTTGAAAGAATCGATCACTTCGTTCCAAAGATCAGTCTGGGCACCAGCCGGTTTGTCCGTCTGTACGATCATGCTGAACAATCCGTCATTTATCAGGCCAGATTTCCATAAGTCATCAACTATATACTTCAGATTAACATGAGATGTGAGTTGACAGAGTGCACATTTTGTACATCTTATTCCTTCTCTCTTATTCTGTTCAAACTTTATTTCAATACTATTAGCAACCTGCTCATTGTGAGACCTAACACGATTCACGAATTTCTTCAGAACATGAAAATCTCTGCCTTTTATCAGACATAAAAGGACACGAACCTGATTCTTACGGTCAGATATTTTTCTTACATTTGCACATTCGTCTTCAGTGAGACAATTATCTTCAAGAAGGGCGTCAGGTAGCTCACTGTCCTTAAACACAATACCATCTACAAGCTCGTGAATGTGACACTGTAAAGCATTTGCTAGACATTCTCTTTCATCTGACTCAGTTAAGGATTTACCTGAAAGTATTAAAATATATTTTCACAACTGTAATTTGTAGATGTCTAAAACTATCTTTCTTTCACTCGTTTAATTATGGAGAACTGATTTCTTACTTTATAACGTGTCAACGATGAACCGCTATTTACGACATGTAAAACTTTTCTTTTGGTGATATCACATGCAATTATCAAAAAATTACTAAGAACAAAAATGATAGAGCTGGAGTATTTGAATCATGAATATAAACATGCCTGTCAGCTTGGATTGACGGATTAGCGAATCATCGCTCGCGGTAGGGTCTTTAGATATGTGTTTCACCAACTTTGCCAAAAGCTCTGTGTGTACAAGCGATGTCTCTTTCATAAGATGATATGAAGGATTATTAAACGATTTATCCTTATATCGTTTCCGTTTTTCTTTTGCATCTGGTAATATGTGGCTGTGGTCGGGAACTTTGGGTCTATATAGTTCCGGACTATCATTCAACTTATTGGCGGCTGTATGCTGAGGTATCAATTCATCACACGTACACGATTTACAGTGATAAGGTTCTATACGTGTGTTGCATTCTTTTAGAGTCTTTTCAATTTTTTCTTCTATAACATCACCAATCTCAGATCTTAGGGCCCGAATAATCTCTTCCCTGAACACTTGAGATAGGACATGCTCTTGAAACTGTAAAGTAATCGATGATAATTGGTCTATGTTTAAAGTTATTGAAATGAATTTATCCCACGCATATGATGTTTTCGATTTTCAATTTGTTAAAGTAAGCGTTAATGTTTGTTTAAAGTAATCGGGATATCTTAAGCATACAACGTTCATTTTTGTCAACTGGTACACGGTTTAGCTATCAGTACATGTTTGATATAAAATAAGAATATGTTGCATGGAATAGCCCGCAAACGGGCTCTAGAAGGAATTTGCAGCTTTTGCATATGCATGTATATTATTATTAAAATCAATTTTCAGAAATCAAAATGTTATCAATTTCGAAAAAACTTTTTATCATTTGAAAAAAATGGAAGCATGAAAGATATTCCTATGTGAATAATCAAATTGAACTCACCGTAATTTGATCTGGCGCTGGCGGTGAAGTTGATCGATGTCCTATACGTACCGAATTTTCCCCGCTTGATTCTTGTTTTAAATTAAGGTTATAAAGAAGATCAGATGATTCTGAAATGTGTTCGACCAAACCTTCAGATTTTGGTCGAATATTCCTTTTCATCTCTTTATTGTTCATTTGTCCGAGTATACTCGCGCTGTTACCATTTTACCAATGTTTCTTAAAGTGATTTTTTAGTAAAATCAATTTTTGGCAATATTTTAAATGGGTTATCTTTCAAAGTCTCGATACATTATTTGTATAAATCCCTAATCGAAACTGATATAATTGATAAAGAAAGATATACCTGAGTAACAACACTTGAGTTTTTTTAAACATCCCGTATAAATAAAAAAATATTTAATTGTATTATGAAAATGGATATAAACCTTCAGATATACTTCAGTTTGGAAATTTGGTTATAAAAAACAAAAATCACATATATAGTGTACATTTACAAGATTGGAAAAAAACATGTATGCAACCATTCAATACGAATCATTAGAAATAGAAATACAAAGATGGATGTTAATCATAAAACAATCACAACAATTACTAATCTTTTATTTTATTTTGGGAGGGACTGGTGAGTGTAAATGAAATAAGTGTATTATTTATAATAAGTACTGATTAGCAATGGTCTTTTACTTTTAAACATCCGTTTAATCTATCAACCTTAGGAAACAGGTGTCGGGTGTTTGTAATCTACACGTGTTTGTTAATAGGATGTTTGTGTGTTATAAAATATTAGTATGTGCTGAACATGTGTTTTAAGCTATTTCTAAATGAATGTTAAAGGTGTTTAAGTTATTTGTAGATGGGTTGGCAGGGTGTTTAAAGCTTTTTGTAAATGAGTTGAAAAAATGTTGACATCTTATCTGAGATATGCAGTCTTCAAAACCTCTGGTCACGCATTCTTTTACTTTGGGACCATCGGCTTTTTTTTATAGAATGGCACCAACAAATCACATTGAGGGTTCCATGAAAACCGCCTTATAAAAAATGTATGGATGATTTTAAAATCATTTTTTACCATTTCATGTTAAATGTTGAATTCAGTTAAGACCGGTGCTAGGGGGCGTCAACGGCGGCTTGCACCTTCAAGTACCGTCAGTGAACAGGCTCTATCAAACCGAGCCAGCAACTTTTCCAGTTTTGCTGTTTTGGATGTTATTCAGGGATTCTTTCTTTAATTGGGACGATACTCCGCTTTTCATGAAACGGCAACTTGCACTTTCCAGTACCGTCCATGAGCAGGATCAATCAAACCGGTCCTGCAACATTTACAATTTTGTTGTTTGGACGTTTTTGAGGATGTCGTCTCTTGTAATTCTTTCTAGAATAGCTGTTCCTGTTTTTTTTTGTTTGTCTTGAATATTTTGTGCACACGGATAGGTGAGACTCTATTCAATCAATCAATCAATCAATATTGTCATTAACAGATGAAATGTAAAAGATGTGATTTTTGTAAACGCTTTTTGTTTTTAGTAGCATGACAGCTAATAATTATCTGTTTTGTCCACAACACAAGTTTTCTATACCACGTGCTTGTAACATGTTATAGATTTGCACTAAAATAGAGAAAGAATCGCTTAAGAACGACAAAACGGCAAAAATGAAAATGGTGCAGATTCGCTTTGATTGAGTCTGTTCATGGACAGTATGGAAAGTGCAAGCTCCCGTCAACGCCCCTTAGCACAAACTTTAAACAGTATTCAAAATTTAACATGTCTTGCTGAACGATCTTAAAGGATCGGAAGTATTACTTCCTTGATTGTATGTACGGGACGACCGACTTTTTATGGCCTCCACTCGGCACAAACAACGCTGATATGGCAATCAAATGCAAGTTTTTTAAACAAAAGTAAGCATTTAAGATCACAAAGCTGGGACTTAAATTTCTTTTAGTTATACATGTAATACACATGAAAGTAATAATAAAATGTCAATGGAAAGTAAATCACTATGAAGTCCATACATTTCTGCAAATTCTGATATGAAATATGCATATAAGATATTGTAGATCGACATTAAAAACAAATGTAGCCATAATTTCAATAATTGATCTTTCATTGGAATGTGTGTTTGTAACGCTTGTTGTTGCAAAGCATACTGTAACAATTTCTATTAGATTTATATCGATGCTTATAGCAATGTTTCGATTTTGAAGAAGAAAAAACACGCAGATTTAGTGTTCGTTATAAACACATCTGGCCTCAAGTACATATATTGTCGACTGTTCTCTTTTATAGAATATCTATGTTCCTTTGAGTAAAATGTACCATTGAATACATGTCAAGTACATGTGTACATAAACTGCATTTATAAATAATGTTAACAATGTTGCAGTAAAACTCTTATAAAACCTTAGAAAAAATAGTTTATGTTTATATAGATAGCAAGAAATAGGAGATATGTAAATATCAATGATTTGACAGACCATTCAACAAATCATAGCAATCAATGAAAGTTTATATCATACATGACAATTTAAAACCAAATATATTTCCCCAGTGTCGGTCAAAAAGCGGTTGTTTTTTTTCAGATGTCTCTCCCGTTGCAAGAGGGGGAGGGCATTTGGTAGCATTGGGCCCAAAAATGTTTGTGTCAACCTGGATTGACCTCTCTTAAAATAATTTTCTGGCGGCGATTGCTTTTTTCACCGGAGCAGTTATACCAGCGCTGAAGAAATTTTTGTCCAGAATTATTTTTGGTAGTGTATCGAAAATGGTTTTTCACAAAATTTTTGTCCCCTTTTGGTAACAATCCAAAGGGCCCTGATTGTAAAAAAAAAAAAATTTAAATACAATACCAGAAGAGTCAAGCACTGTATTTCGTTTCTTATTAAAAAAATCAACATTTTGTCGTTATTAAATACAAAATAATAATATGAAGAAAACAAGTACAAGAAACTTATAGAAACAACGTGACGAAAGTGGGCTTAAGAACTTTTCAGTTCATAAATCTTCTATAAAAAGAAATAAATGCTAAGATGATTATAATAATACGAGTAGTAAAATATTAATAAACAGACAATAATTGTTTGTGTTTTTTCTTCTTATTAATACTAACAAACCTGTCCATCTTTCTTAATTTCGTTTTGAGGGTTGTCAGACTCCGTTGAATGAATGGAGGAACTTGCGTCGTCGTTCAGACCTATAAAAATATCTGTTTCTGAAGACTGAGGAGAAAAAGAGGATATTATTGAACTAAATAATCTCTCTGGAATATATTTGTAGCGTAGTTGACAACCACACACTAGTTTTTTATGTGTACAAATCATCCACTCAACACCTTTTGCTAGCAGGTTATAGTGTTGTTTCTTTGTCAGTGCGTTTATCAGAGTATGAGATACATCGGCTGGACTTAGTACGCTGAATGTGTTGAAAGAATCGATCACTTCGTTCCAAAGATCAGTCTGGGCACCAGCCGGTTTTCCCGTCTGTACGATCATGCTGAACAATCCGTCATTTATCAGACCAGACTTCCATAAGTCATCAACTATTATACTTCAGATTAACATGAGATTTAAGTTGACAGAGTGCACATTTTGTACATCTTTTTCTTCTCTCTATTCTGTTCAAAACATTATTTCAATACTTTTAGCAACCTGCTCATTGTGAGACCTAACACGATTCACGAATTTCTTTAGGCATGAAAATCTCTGCCTTTATAAGACATAAAAGGACACGAACCTGATCCTTACGGTCAGATATTTTTATTATATTTGCACATTCGTTTTCAGTGAGACAATTATCTTCAAGAAGGGCGTCAGGTAGCTCACTGTCCTTAAACACAATACCATCTACAAGCTCGTGAATGTGGACACTGTAAAGATTTGCTAGACATTCTCTTTCACCATCTGACTCAGTTAAGGGTTTACCTAAAATATTGAAACATATTTGCACAAACTACAACTTTGTAGGTATCTAATAAAAAGTCGTTCTTATTGTAGATGCTTAAAAAGAATTTTAAAACATAGGTTTAGGATATAAAATTTTCTACCATGGATCTTATATTTTATCATAAGTTTGTTTGTTGTTCGTTTGCTCGTCCGTTCGTCTGTTTGTTTGTTTATTTGTCTTTTTGTAAAAGTATATTCTACATTGATGGAGAATTTTTTAAAAAGTAAACCGCTTTTGGGTATATGCAAAATAGTATCTAGAATTACAAATTGTTATAAAAACATGGATTAGTATCAATGTAGTATATTCAATCATTATATATTATGAATTTTATAACGTACCCTTGACAGTTCAGTGCGTCATCTTCAAATAGGTTCTGTTGAACCATATTTTCACACAAGCTTCGTCCCATGTTCTGTGTGTATCAGTAATATTTGACCTTTAAGATTATATATGGATTACTAAAACATTTCTTCTTAAATTGTTCCCTTTTTTCTCCTGTTAACTCAATACCTGTTACTGTTGATATATTTTCTTTACGTGCGTCGTTGAGTATGTGACTTTGTTCGAGAAATATGGATGCACATGGTTTCGGACTATCCTCCAACTTCTGGGCGGGAATCTGCGGTTGTGTCAGTTCATCGCACGTGCATGATTTACAGTGATAATGTTCTGTAGTTGTAACGTGTTCATTGTGAACATTTTTAATCTTTTCTTCTACAATATCACTTATCTCAAAACGTAGAGCCGGGATTATCTCCTCTCTGAGCACTCGTGATATGACATGCTCCTGAAACTGTAAAAGAAATAAAGGATATTAAATGAGTGTAAATTGTAATACTGAATTTATTGAACGAGTTGAAAGGTATCTTTAAACTTAATTAGTTTTATGTTAAAAGTTACTTAAATGAATACCGTAATTTGGTCTACATCATCCTTGTTACCAGGGCACGGGGCTGGCGGTGAAGCTGCTTGATGTCCTATACGTACAGAAGTTTCCTCGACTGATGCTTTACTTATATGAAGGCCATGTTTGACATTCAACGGTTGTGAAATGTGCTTGATCAAACCTTCCGATTTTGGTCGAATATTCTTTTTATTCATTATTTTACAAATTACAAAGTATACACGTGTTTGACAAATTATAAAAAATTACACATATTGAAGCCTCTAAATTTCATAATTATTATTTTTTTATGAACGTGTTGATATAATTTACACACATTTATTTAACACTTCTTAATTTGATATAGTATCATCCGATCACTTTTGAAAACATTTCAGAAGAAGATATATTATTTGCGTGCATGCATATCTTATACAATTTCTTTTAAAATACCAGACACAGTTTTGTTTGTTGAACATGTTATCATAAAGTTTACAACCCAAACGTCTACCTAAAATATATCGGTAAAGAAAAGATTAATAACTTTAGAATATCTCTGTGATCATTTGAAAGAACGACGACATATAATACACACAGCGTTTCTTCCTGGTCGCTATTCAAAATAACGTCGTGATTCATGCTCGACTTTACAAATAATATGAAAATCATATCTAAAATTATATCTGAAATCATATATCGCACGTTTATAATGTATGGTTAGTTATCCATATAATTAAAATTACTACATAAACATTTTTAGTGGGGGATTTTTATGATAATGTACCTACGTGATATTCCGCAATATTATATTACAGAACTAGAAGGGGATATTTTACGTTTTCACACATTCAACTTCATAAACTTAGAAAATATTCGATTTTGTTTTCTTAAACATAACCTCTTTAACGAATGTATGAAAAGAATAAAATTTTAGGTATGATTTAAATACACTATACATGATTAACTTTAACGTTAACGTTTACTAAGTGCTACGTATTGTTTCTAATGAGTTCCTATGTAAGATTGGTTAAAGCTTGGACTGGCGTAGCTTACACTAATGTTCTCAGCATGCTTCTGCAATTCCTTTTTGATCCAGGCCCCGAGGCTCTGAAACTCGCCCTCCCCCTGAACAAACAAAAACATCCCACACCGCCCTTCCCATTTTCCTTACTGATATCTCTTTATTTTTTCAGGTATAACATGACAGCCGCGTCACTAAGCCCTTCTTCATCATGACTATTTTTTGTAGATGTGACAAAAGATCGTTCAAGCGATTTGTAGATAGATTGATAGGTCATTAAAGCTATTTGTAGATGGGTTGAAAGGTCATCTCAGCTATTTGTAGATATGTTGAAGGTGTGTTTAAAGCTATTTGTAGATGGGTTGAAAGTGTGTATTACGCTTTTTGTTTGAATAATCTAATTGATTTTTTTTCTGTTTTAAAACATTACAACAACAACAACAATAATAATAATAATAATAATAAAGACTTTATTTAACGAGAGAACTCATTTGAACAAACATGTCAATCTTCCATGAGGCCCTCAACAAGGAACAATAGAAAATTTAACATTTTCAAACTATTAAAATACATAAATGTAAAAACATACAGGAGATTATCAATTTGTATACATCAATGCGTGATAAAACCTCAAGTATAAGGTTTTTAAAAATGGTTAACAGATGTAGCAGACTTAATATAATCAGGAGGTCCGTTCCAAATACAAGATCCAGAATAAAACAAAAGACTTACGAAATTGTTCAGTATTTGTCTAGGGGTATAAAGTTGAAAATCAGATTGATGAACGCAAAAGCGAGGTATGGAACATCTGACGATAAAATGAAATTATTCAATAAATAGGAAGGCGCCTGATTATGAAATTATTATTTTAAAACATCATAATAGTTTTTGAAAAAACAACATGATAATTTAAAACAACAGAAAAATCGACGTAGTATAAATCCATTTCTTTCCCTTATCAGCTTTTATTTACAAATCACCTTAATTCAAACTCGTTTTCAGTATCTCTTAAATAAGAATATTTTGCTTTCTACATTCTTTAACGATCTTTAAAAATTTGTTTTAAACGGTATTTTTTTTTTTTTTTTGGCAAAATTAAAAAAAGAA